TGTGCTCCTCCCTCTGGCCCCGCCCCTCACCATGACCCCACCCCTCTGTGTGTATGTGCTCCTCCCTCTGGCCCCGCCCCTCACCATGACCCCGCCCCTCTGTGTGTCTGTGCTCCTCCCTCTGGCCCCGCCCCTCACTCTGACTCCACCCCTCTGTGTGTCTGTGCTCCTCCCCTCAGTCAGAGTCCCACGGCGACGCTGCAGTCGACCAACACACACACGCAGAGCTCCAGCTCCAGCTCCGGAGACGGAAGCCTGTTCCGGCAGAGAGGCAGTCAGGCAGCACAACCGGACGAGACGGGAAGAGTGCCTCCATACGTCGACTTCACACAGTTCTACCGGCTCTGGGGCTCCGATCACGGCGAGGGCCAGGGTCTGTCTGGAGATCTGGGGCCGCAGTGAGGATCAGGTGAAACACAATATTATTCCATCTGTGAGCCGACAACAATCTCCTTAAACTGTATCTTTGGCCTGTACTCATGGATAGAGGAGCTCCACCGACTGTATCAAAGGGAAACTCACAGCATCATGTTTTTAACACTTCACACTCACGTTTCTCTGAGCTTCTTTCTTCCTGCTTCTGTGCAGTTTGACGTCTCTGTAAAACCAAAGTGAGGTCAGACCTGCATATATACGTCTGCCTGTCTGCGTTTTCTGTGTTCTTTGAGTTTTTAGTGTCTTCCTTTAATAAACAGCTCTTGTTTCAGCACCATATTCTGGTTTGGTTTCTCTTGGGAGCTAATCTAATGTGAAGAGGTAGACTGTTCCAGAGTTTCGGACCTGCAGCTGCAAAAGAGCAGCCACCTTGTTTTTTAAGTCTAGATCTAGGCACGATGAGCAGACAGAGATCACTGGATCCCAATGATCTAGAAGCGGTGTACGGGCGGAGCAGGTTTGTCAGGTATTGAGGGCTTTATAAACAAATAATAGAATTTTAAAATCAATTCTATTTTTAATGGGTAACCAGATAAAATGGGATTTACCGGCTCATGCTTGCGGGTTCATGAGAGTAATCTAGTAGCTGTGTTTTGCTCTAGAGTAGACGGGAGAGGGAAGACTGAGAAACACCGTAATAAAGTGAATTACAATCATCTAAACGAGTTGTTACAAAAGCGTGAATCACCGTTTGGAAACTAGAAAATGAACTTGGAAATGACTCTGTGATAAGAAGGGTTTCTCTTTAGAAAGTTGACGGAGATGAAAAAAAGCATGATTTTACAACAGTACTCGTGTCTGTCAAATGTTAAGTTATGATTAAATAGAACGCCCAGATTTCTTGCGCATTGAGTTTCTAACTTATCTAACACACAATTTTCCTTATGCCCAAATAGAATTATTTTGGTTTTCATTTAAATTTTGAAAATTACAAAGCTTAAGTTCTTCTAAGCAGGCCAACAGTGGTTGTAAGCCATTTTTATCACTATGCTTTAAAGGAAAATAGATCTGAGTATCATCAGCATATAGATGAAAGGATACTCTATATTTGTTACAAATGGAAGCCAGAGGTAGTGTGTGCAGGGTAAACAAAACCGGGCCCAGGATTGATCCCTGTGGAACTCCACAATTAAGAGGTATACAAGAGGAGGTCTGGTGACCGATACAAACACTAAAACATCTGTTGGTCAGATAAGAACGGAGCCACTGTAAGACTGTGCCACGAAGGCCCACAGATATCTCCAGACGAGTCAACAGGACCGAATCGAAGGCAGCACCCAGATCTAATAAAACTAAAGCCATGGATTTCCCAGAATCACTCGAGACTCTATGACTATGACAATTTTGTTCCGATAAGTTCTGACAAATGTTTGCATTTTGCATCTGTCTGAAACATGTTATACGAGCTTCTCAAAACTTCATAAGAAACCTGCAATCTTTCCTTTTTCCATTTGCGTTCAGCCCGTCTACAACGATTTTTATCATTCAAGGGGGGCAATAGAATTCATGATATCTGCACAGGTAGAATTAAAAAGATTAAGATGTGCGTCGGTGTCCAGATTAAGCAGGGTCCAGAGAGTTGCATTCATCATGGTAGGCTACAGAAAAATCTTCACTAGAATGTTAAGCGAGTGAGTCAGACGTGCCAGCGATGGATTCTGAGGAGTAACAAGAACCGGCCTGTGATCAGCAAAAGCTGCTGTTTGAAATAGAAAAACATGGGTTAAAATCAAATCAAGGGTATGATCATGGATAGTTTAATTTGAAATAAAATACAGTCTCACACTTTAGCTTTAAATATTCAAAAAGCTGAGATAAATCAGCATCTTGTGCAGATTATTCTAATTAAATTATATGACAGATGATATAATGTCAGTAAAGATGGGATGCAATTGACCGGCCCTCAGCGGCCCCTCGCCACGAGACACTAATGTACAGTATTTGGAAACCTGTCCTTGTATTGAACATTTACAAATATGTCATGGGAAAAATCTAAAGATGCCTTTAATCTCAGCTGCCAGACATGTCTGATTATCAAGACGTCTTGCAGCAGTTTTGGTCTAAGAATTGACCACAAGGTGGCGCTATAAGAAGGCAATGTACGGATCTCTCAGACGTCTTGCTGAACATTTCCTGGAAAACACGTGAGAGTAACGATGCATCATCAGGAGACCCTGGTGGAAAAGCTTGATACAAATCTAGCTATCTTATTTAGACCCGTTTAACTTCTTGGTGGTTTGCCATTTTTGCTAAATGTTAGTTTTTTCATTTTTCTTAATAAGTTTGGTAGCAGGATTGAGCGACTGATATTGATGAGTGTCGCCAACACGCAGTCATTTTTCTTAATAAGTTTGGTAGCAGGATTGAGCGACTGATGAGTGTCGCCAACACGCCGATTAACATCAAATTGAATGAGATGATTTAATAGTCTTTCAAAAGATGTCACTTGTGTCACAATTATATTTTTTTGTATTTCATATGTTCTAAATATGTTATTTTTGCTAACTAGCCTATCCTATTTAGTTATGGGGAAATATTCGAGCAGTTTTTGAAATGTTTAAAAGACGTTCTATTTTGCGAGCACTATGAGAATGTTACATTGGAGTGTTCTCTAGACGAACATCAAACTAAAATGTTACAGAAAAACGTTCCATAAACGATGTTGTTACATGTGTCCGAAAGCTCTAGTAATGTTACAGCTAGAATGTTTGTTCATAACTTCGAGAGAACCTG